GTTAGCCCTGCCAACCATGACCTCGCATTGTCGGCCCATGTTCATCTTGGAGTCAATAATGACTCCAAGATCTCTTTCTGCCTCCGTGCTCTCAAGTAGGGAGTTCCCCATTGTGTAAGTGTGCTGCTGGTTCCTACTGCCCAAGTGCAGCACCCTGCACTTGTCCGTATTAAAACGCATCCTGTTCCTGTTAGCCCACCCCTGTAACCTATCCAGATCCCTCTGCAATCTCTCCTTCCCTGCTAGCGTGCTCACCTCCCCCCAAATTTATTTTATTTGACAACTGAGGAAAACATTTTAGATAGAACTAGTTGTCCAAATAATGTTGTCTAATGCTGCCCTAAGGTGTTGTTTATATCCATTTTCCACCTTAGCTCAGGTGATGAACCAAATTCAGTGCGAGTTGCTTTTATTTGCACTACAGCTGAAATGCCCCAAGATATACAGTCATTTCTTCCCCACTGATTTTCATTAAACTCTCTGCTTTTACAGCCATCACCAACATAGTACCTAAATTCCTTTATTTATTAACACCATTTGTTGCATAAGTATCAGGATAGTTATACCTATACAATGCAAATGCCATGCAGTATCAATGGACACAAGTGCAGAACGGCACTAGCATCACCATTGTACAGTTGATCTGTGTTACTGATTGATTGCATGACTTCTCAGCTCAAAGGAATGAAGCCTTATTCCTCTTAGTCTTAGTCTGGTGCACTGGTGCTCACAGTTTTGGCCCTGAAGGCTGGATGAATGCCATGGGACCATCCTGCATGCCAGACTTAGTACTCAGGGCCATGGCAAGATCCATGGGGAGTCCCACAGGCCAGATTACATGGTACATTATCTGACCAATGTCCAATGTGGACATTAGTTGACATGTGGGCTGGGGACTGAGCATTAATCACAAACCAATCCTTGTTCTCTATATACCCATCCTACTAACTTCTCTATGGTCCACCAGGAGCAGATGTTGTACAACAATATCTGCTTTTAGGCCATTACAAGGTCTTTTCAGCCTTGATTCTCTTTACTGTCTACTTTCCAGTGAGGCCTAGTAATTATCAAGGTAATGTTTTCATCCCCAAAATTAAAGGTAGGGATTAGCTGATGTGAAATACAAGTACAAAAAATGCCAGGGACTGTTCATCCACAGTGGAGTGAATGAGACATTGATTATTGTGCTTCTCTCAGAATAACTGAGAAAAATCCCCCTTCCACTAACTATAGTCACGCAATCCAGGTGGTGTCAGTGGGCACATACAGATGGACATCCAAAGCAGAACTGTGTCTACTGGTTGCACTTTAAAGAGTGCCCACATGATTTACACACATAAAAAAGGTGCTGGCCAGAAACCAAAATTGTGTGGTATTGGCAGTTTTTTTTATGGTGCTGGCATTTATTTTTCACTCTAAATTGGAACAAAACTGAAACCACCAGAATTATGTTGGTGAAAAATACAAAGGAGAGAAGAGAAAAACACAAATTAGATCCCTACTGCAGAGCAGCTGGTGGGATCCTTGTTAGGGCACTCACATGGGAGGCACAGGTTCAAGCTTCTGATCCAGTTAAGTAAGAAATGGACTTGAATTTGAGCCTTCCACATTCCCTGTGTATATCTGAAACCCCTCACTACTAGCTATTCTGTTGAAGCTGCTCTCACTCTGATGGTCAAAACTCCAACTTGTACCTTAGTAGCCAGGCCAATACACTTCTGTAAAACACATTGGTTTTGAAAAAAATGCATTTTTGACAGAATAATCTTTTCAAACAAACATTTGCAATCATCTCTTCTTCAGTATGCATGTTCCTCTGACTTACAGTGGGAATTCTGCTCCTAAGTCATTAAGACACCATGAAAATCCTATACACTGTCTCCAAATATTGTCTGTCTGAATTAATGCTCATCAGACCCACAATCATACATTCATACTTTGACAATACCTCCAGACCACAGTACTCTACTAAGAATGAGAAGGAATTGCACTATGAAACAGGAAGACACTAGCTAGTGTGATATACAGTACCAAACCGTCGATGCAGTTGAGCTTAAAGTGAAACATAATTTGCATTGTACTCAGTTTCAGAGAAAGACGGTGGAAGGGGAGGGGGGAAATGGTCCTGGTTACTGTTCACCTTCTGACATCAGAAACCTCCGATGCAGCATGCGAGATTGCCGTCGTGAAATCCCTGATCAAGAATATGAAGCGTCTTCCCCTCTTCGCAGCTGCGTCCTGCCTCACGCCCCCAGGTCCATTTTTCTTCGTACGGCGAATGATGAAGCTTTTTTTCCAGATCACATGAGCCAGGATGAAGGGGGAAAATCCTGCTAGGAACCAAGATGGGCTACAAGTTTGAATGCGATCAAGGGGAGATACAGATTGTTACACTGAAGACTATAAAAGAATGTGCTCACCACAAGAGCAAACATTTTTCCAGGTGAATGACTCTCATGAAGCAGCCATAAAGATGACTGAAGACTCTGTTTCAAGGAGGCCCGTGGCCACTGACAAATCGTATTTCTATTTCACCACTGCTTTCCTCTCTGTCTGCCTCGTGTTTGCCCTAGCAACCATCATGATCTTAATCGTTCAGAAGACGGTAAGCAATTTCCACCTTTTCTCCTTGGTTTCTTTTTCCTTCTGCTGTGAAAAGAAAGTTTCTTGTAATCAAAAAAATAAGTCTCTTTTCTCCTAAAATCATATGAATTAGGTAGAGAAGGGGTGGGAAATGAGGGAGATAGAAAAAAGCTGGGATGGAAACATTTTTCCTCTAGGTACCAAACTAATTTTTTATGCACCATTAATTCTATACAAGAAAGACAGAAACAGTTCATGCTCTGGGCTTTAAGTCAACAACTGGGCATCAGGGACAACAAGACTAAAACTCTTATGGGGGCAGGATATAACATTACTAACTACTTCAGAGTTTCTTGAACTTCTTGCTGAAGACTCTGGAGCTGCCCACTAGAAGGAACAGGATATAGAAGTAGATAGATGATGAGACTGATCTAGCCCAGCAATTCCTATCTTCCCGTGGTAGTTAATTGATTGATACAGTGCACAGCACCTCAGTGCATATGATACCAAATATCTATATGAAATGGTGATTTACAGGAAAAAATAGAGGAGCAAAAGCACTTTATGGTCAATTCTTGAAAGCATTCAGACTTCAAAATCAAAATCAACGAAAGAGAAATAAAAAGACCTGGTAAGAAACTGAAGGTGGAGAACAGATATTTTCTTCAGACTGTGTTTGAAAGGAAATGGAAAGTCAGCTGAGGTTCAGGGACGCAGAGAGGGCATTGTAAGCTAGCAAGAGTGGCAGAAGGGAACATGCTTGAAGTCATAGTGCCAAGGCTGTGGGGAAGAACAGGAGTTCAGTTCAAAATGATGACAGGGAGCAGTGAATGTGAGGCAGGCTGAAGGCAAGACTGTGTAAGCTTTTGAAAATAAGAGGACAGCTCTGAGCTGGGAAGAATGAGGAGCCAATGCATTTTTTGCAAGGGAGACAGCAAGTGGCCATCTTTCTTGGTTGAGTTAAATAACAACAGTGGACAAAATCCTGGCCCTGTTGAAGTCAGTGAACATTTTGCCATTAATTGAAATAGTCTTAAGAGTTGTATAGTAAATCCAAGCTCTGGCAGACCCATCAATATGACTTTTAGACAGAATATATTTTGGGGGGAAAAAAACAGCTTAAGATCTTGGTACATAAAAGAAAGTTGATCTGAAAAACACTGCCCTTCAGCAAATTGCTTTTCTTGATTTATTAAATCTAGTATGTGTGTAAATGTGTGCATGAGAGAGGGAGAAAAATTACCTACACATTTGTGAGAAAAGATACCTCTGAGGCCTGATTTGTCTCTCCATTATACCAAGGTGATTAAGGAGCCACTTAATTGAAATCAGTGTTGTTACACCAACGTAAAACATGATCGTATTCTTGAATTCATGTATCAGAGTGAGATGCAGGTATTTTATTATAATAATCAGATAGTGGTACATTAAAGCAGAGCCTTCAAATAATGGACCAGTTAATTACTGAATTACTGCAGATAGTTTACACAAAGCAGATTTCATTAGTTCTTATTAATACTAAATTTAACACTAAATTAGCTCTCCAACAGGATAAATGCTGTTACCCTAAATGCAGTGGAATGATAATATTGAAGAATTAAGGATCTTCAATGCCCCCTCTGCGTCCCTGAACCTCAGTTGGTCAGGCCGCAGCTGGAGTACTGTGTCCAGTTCTGGGTGCCGCACTTCAAGAGGGACGTGGAGAACCTGGAGAGGGTCCAGAGGCCACTCGTATGGTTGGGGGCCTCCGTGGCCAGCCCTGTGAGGAGAGGCTGAGGGACCTGAATCTCTTCAGTCTCCACAAGAGGAGACTGAGGGGGGAACTTGTGGCTGCCTACAACCTTCTCAGGGGTCAGCAGCAGGGACTCGGGGAAAGTCTGTTCACCAGGGCCTCCCTTGGAGTCACCAGGAACAATGGCCACAAGCTGAGGGAGGATAGCTTTAGGTTAGATATTGGGAAGAACTGCTTCACTGTAAGGGTGGCCAGAGCCTGGAACAGGCTTCCCAGAGAGGTGGTGCTCTCACCTTCCCTGGAGATCTTCAAGAGGAGACTGGATGGGCACCTGGCTGGGGTCTTATGACCCCTGCCACACCCAGCGCTCCTTCCTGCCCATGGCAGGGGGTCAGACTAGATGATCTGTCTAGGTCCCTTCTCACTGATTCTGTGATTCTATGATTCATTTCATAAAGGAACTCACTACAACAATTTTGCAAATAGGTTCGGAGAAGGAAAAAACAGGTCATCCAAGTGTGTGATGTAGTGATTTATAAAATCATTTTTATTTGCAAGGGGAATTTGGAAGTAAAGAGCATTATTTTCTGGTCTTGCTTTCCATGACCTGAAAAGTCCACTATTCTGTTGCATTTCCTTCAGTCTCTATCCTTGAGGAACTACCTCTTCAGGCCCAGATAATGAATGTTGACACTTTATGAGTTCCTCAATGGGATGCAGTGTGCATTTGTAACACACACCTTCCTTCGTGCTCAAGCAGTCAGGGTGAGAGGTGTCAGAAACTCCTTTGATAGCTATATTTGTTTCTCAGGTTGGGTGTCTTCTGGTCTACGTACAGTCTTGGTCTACTGCATATGGTACCTCCACCTTGCAGGTGTTAATTGGAAGGTCTCGTCATGAGAGATACATAGTTAGCTCTTTGGGTTTACTCCTATGAGAAAATGCAGACTCCCCAGCTACCCTAAAGTGAACTTACCTCTCAGGAGTGGGGCAGAATCTTGTATCATCAGACTGATGAGATATCTAGATTTTCTGTCTCAAGTTTTTTTCAGTTGCAAAACCACCTCATTGATGAATTCCCACTCATTTAGTTTAGACGCACACACTTGACTCAGGAATATGCAGGGAGAAATTCAATAAATACTAAAGGAGGAGCTCTCAAATCATAGATTGCACAACATAAAAGATCAAAATTCCCTAACAATCCCAACTCATCTAAATCCAGTACAAATGTTATTAAATAATATTAATCTCAGTGCATTTTAGAGCACATCAAAATTGCATACCCACTTCTTTAGAAAAGTGGCGTATAAAAACTTCCTGTTCAGGAAGCACAGAATCCTTGGAATCACGTCTGGAAATAGTCCACTCGCTTCTTCATCGTCCAGAAAAACAGATCAACTGGAAATGTAGCACCAATAGAGCTTTCAAATAAGATCTTGTTTTTCATAAAATGAATGAGTTCATTAGAGAGGATTCTTCCTTTTATTTTTGTTTCTGCTACAAAAAACTCCTGTCTCCCCGTCACTTCCAGTGCTGTTATAGCCATGCGCTCAGAGAAACCTGTTGGGCCAGAAATATACACTAATTATTGTGGAGCTCCTGCTTTCAGTTAAACCATTCTACTAAAATGTTTCAGCAAATATGGTAAATTAGGCAACTATTTGTTGAAAGCCACCCTAGACTACAGTATACTCTATCAATAACCAGAGCGATACCTTGTTGCCTGACTCACAGTTGGTTGATCACTCTCAGTTTCAGAGGGTTTCGAAATACTCGTGTTTTCAACCTGGCAACATCCTTTATCAAAGCTCTCCAGGCCTGGTACAGTAGTGATGTGCAGGATTATAGGTGCATGTGCAATACTTACATTAAATGATCTAGTTTGTTTCCAAACCTGCTTTGTTTAAAATTCTAAAATAATGTTATCAGCTGGAATTGAGCCTGGGTCAGCCACGAACAAAAAATCACTTTTTCTTTTTCTACACAAAGATGTCCCAAATTGCATTAATTAGCACCCCCTGGTGGGCAATCTTGAAAGAGACAGAGGGAGAAAGAGCGAAAACACTGGGCGGTCATGGAAAATGAGGCAGAAGATAGAGTTGCATTTAGAAATGACCTTTTGTTGTGTTAATCTGAAGTGAAGTAGAAGGCCAAGTAGATCTGCACCTTATAGGCTAGCCAAAGTAGGTAGATATAAATATGTAAATATGTATGCATGTATGTATGTGTGTATAGCGCAAGCTTTCCTGGGCTGAAGCTCACTTCATCAGATGCTGTGGAAGGACATGTGCACAGCAGCGTATAAGAAGGAGAGAGAAATTTGATGTATAAGGTGAAAATCTACCCTGCCTTTTTCCTGTATGCAAACTAAGACCGCTATCTACCTCTCTCTGCTCAGGGAAAACATGCCATTTTCTTTTTATCTAGAACAAAACCCTGCCAAACAGAATGGAGGCATCATAGGGCTCAGCATGGAAAGACCATGCTGCTGCAATGTATACTGTAACTCTTCTGTATATATGTAGAGTCCTTCACAGTCTAAGGTTGTCAGTCTGTTCCCTTTCACCCCCACTAAAGTCATGTATTAGTATTTACTCTGGAATTAATGATACCTCTTATCAGATACAGTATGAGGACTAAGAATATCATTCATTCTCAGCTCTGCCTCCAAATACCCGTGTGATTTGGGACCACTTATTTAAACTGTCTCTGCTTTCGTTTCCCTATCTATAAAATAAGAATAACCATTTTAAATATTGAAGTATTTTTGCAATCCGTGGGTGAACAAAATAAAGCACTGTTATGATGTAACTATGACCAGCACTTTGCAGCCTATGGTGTAACAAATATAATAGGATTACAAATTAAATAAATAGCTTATTATGGGCTTTTATGAAGTTTATCTTTCTTAACTTTCTTTAAGTTCAGAAATAATTTGACAGTCTTAACATTCTTGTATCTGTAAAGAACAGAAATATAGGGGACAACTGCTGTTTTCATGATTGCTTGAATCAGAGTGAAATCCTGGTCTCCTTAAAATGAATGGTAAAACTTCCATTAACCTTATTAATGCTAGATTTTGCCCCTTAATTTCCAGATAAATTGAGTGGGCACAAATTTGGCTAAACTGAATCAGAGGGGCAGATGCTCAGGCTCTCAGGACCTCAGACCTAATGATGCTGCCCCAATGATTTTTTCCATGGGGCATTGTTTTCTAAGTGTTTTTAGATGGCTTCTATAAGAAAAAATCATACATGTCAAAACGTTTGTGAAAAGAGACCTTCAGTTCTCAGGAGCATTAGCCTGTATCCTTGTTTCTGATACTTAAAGTGAGGAATTTCAATAGCCATAAAAGTCTGGCTTGCCTGAAAATCCCACGGACTTCATGCTGACTTCAGTGTAGCCAGAAATTTGACTTTATATCGAGTAAAAACCAGCAAATACATATGCATATCTGAATGTTTGTTCAAACACTGTATTCAAACCATTTGGGTTTCACAACCTGGGCTGAATGGTTTGTGACTACATAAGAGCTGGACCTGGAAGGGAATATGTATTTTGGTGTTTCAGATTCTGGTTGAACCCCTCCAAAAGCATTGAGATAGACTTCAAAGCAGGCATAACTACGGTACACTGAAGTCAGTGGAGTGACACCTTTTTACAACAGCCTTGAGTTTGACCTTGCATTCAAGCTTTCTAATGACATATAAAAGTATGTTTCCCTTTTTTGAATGCATATTTTACTAGGGCATGTGGCAGTATCTATCATAACAATAATCTGCATACCTCCCTGTTTTGTGCTGCATGATTGCTAAATACTTATGGGTATTATTTCTTCCCAATCAGGGGATACATGACCTTCGCAGGTTCTCTTACAAGGAAAGGGGAGTGCAAGAGACATTTATTAAGATGACTTTGATTAGACAACAGATGAGGCACCAGATTGATTTAATTTGAGAAGATTTTTGAGAAACATTAAAAAAGATGGCTTTCAATGACACCTGATTATCATTTTCTCTAATGAAGCAAACTCAAATTATCCTGCTTGCTGAGTAATGATTGAGATCATTCATCATCCACACCCAGAGCTGTTACAGACAGGCTGAAATTCATTTATAATGAGATTTTCCCCAAGCTTGTACTGTACAATTTAATCTCTTTTTGCTCCTAGAGGGTAACTCTTTACATTTCAAATTATAGCATTAAACTGAATCCTTCTTGCTATGGGAAAGGAAAATAACAGCAACAAGAACAATGTTTAGAAGCAAACACTAAAGTTTTATTGGGATGTCTATGCAATTGATGCTGAAATAAAATGCATTAGTATCTGCTATTTTCATTTATTTGAAGACTTCCCAGGAGGAAATGTGATACATTAGTACATTTTAATTTCCTTCAAATCACCCCGACTGCATGGCAGGCAATGAGATGCCAGAATTCCTTTCCCTAACCTCCATCTCAGAGGAAAGTTTGAAAGGTGAATATTTCACACTAATGCTTGTGTCTCCTTAGGTCTCAATCACTTTGAAAAGCACTCCCTTATAGGCAGGAGTGAACCCATTTCATTTTGCAGAATATAACTGCAGATCTAAGGTTTCCTTTTTCATGTGACCAAATTCAACAACTTTTACATGGCCTGGTGTTTACAAGACTGACACTTAAATCCCAGCCCAAAGATAGGGAGTCTGTACAATCTTTACCAAAATAATCTATCTATGCAGTCTCAGCTCTCCCACTGTAAAATAAGGATGACTTACCCTATGTTTTTCAGGGATGTTGTGAAGATGCAGACTGTTAATCAGATATTATATAACATGAACTACATAAGAAACTAGATAGATTTCTACCTGTGTGGCACTAACATCTACCGTTTGTGTTATGCCTCAGCTAAGAGCAGCCTCAGGTAGAAATGAGTATTTCAGTTTTCCAGTTTATCATGAATGACGAGTCACTGTCAGAAATTTTGGATGCTTTCAAGCTATGTAATCCCTTTAGTCTTGAGTCTTGTAAACTGGACCTGGTATAGTCTCAAGGGTGATGTCTGCACTGGACAGCTAGCACAAATGATGGGCACCCAAATTTGAGCAGCCTGGAAATGACAGTCCATGCTGCAAACCTGCACCCACATTTCTGTGTCCTCATGGTTTCTGCACTTGTCTGTCTTTGTCTGTGACACAGCTCATGGCTCTGTATATTGAGATGCTCTAGAGTTCTTCCTCTGGTAAACCACATCAATTATAGGAACCATTGAATAAATGGAAATAGCATGCAGGAGATTTGCCCTGGAAATGAATGTGTTCTAGTCTAAGATAAAGCACAGCTCCAGTTATAACCCCTACTCAAAAAAGCACATATTTAAGGGTGTGTCTGTGTGTTGATGGGGGGGAAAAACACACACCTGGGAACACAGGCAAGGACTGCGGACTGGAGTACGTTTCCTTGTGCATTATCAGTGCTTCCTGCTAAAAAGATAAGAACACAGAGTGAAGAACCTTTCTTGTGGGGGTGTTTTTTGCCACTGTGCTTCCTGTCCCAGGGAGAAGTAAGAGGAGAAAGGTGCAGAAAAGGAAAAACATATGCTTCCATTTGACACTTGCAATGGTATAGTTACAGGGAGCTGAGATTTTTATTTTCATCCATCCCACTCAAGTCAAAGGGAGCAGGATTTGGCACTGGCAGGTTCCCTACTTCAAGAGGCACATTGTTATCTTCTATTCTGTGCTTCACAAACTTGAAAAAAAAATTTTTTAGGACCTCGTGCTTCCATGTTTACACTAACACACACAACAGGAAAGCTGACTTCCCAACCATTTGAAAGAGAAAAGGCTCCCATTCAGAAGGGAAGAGACTCTTCAGGTCCCCAAAACATCTGCTCAGCATAAGGTCTATATTGTGAACTTCAGGTGAAGGTAAAATCCCACCCAATACAGAAAGCTAGCAAGGAGCCTATGCACTACCTAAGACACAGTTTGGCTCAAAGGGGGCACTGCAGGACTCAAGTGCTTCAGAAGGCTTTGAAACAATTTTCGTAACAAGGTTCAATTTCACCCTTGAGAAATGGAGTATAACTTGAAACTCATTCATGCCTTAAACACAAACACTCATAGATATCAGAATAAACATATGTCCCTTTCTTTTCTTTCAGGGGCCTACTCCTGAAAAGCCAGGCAATACACTTCATTTTGTGGGAGGTAAGATGATCCATGTAAATGACAATAAATGCATTTTGTCTGGCTTAGAATACAAATGATATCCAACATGGGGAAAAAAACTAATTTGCAAATCTTAACATTTTACCCAAGCTCTCCTCTTGACGTAAAAGCCAAGCCAGTGGAAAAAAAACTTGCAAATTACTTTGTACTGCCGGAAACCAATGCATGGCTGAGGAAATAACAAGCATTTCTGAATTTACCCCAATGTGTCATTGCACTAAAGCGTTTTTACCAACCAATATGAACATTAATCTGATTATAAGGTGTTATTATAATGGCTCACTCCTGCACACTGAGGAGCATTGGATTTCATCTGGTCTAGGAATGGGTTCACATTCATTGCTGCTTATTTCAAAACCACCTGAGGCTCAATTACCTGCCCTATATTCAAATAGTATTTGATTCACCTTCTTATTAGTAGTGGCTGTGAGAAAGTGGGAGAAAAGAAAAAGCAGGTGGGATAAAATAAGAACTACAGAGAGACAAAGGATAAACAGGGTGAGCAGAATGGGAAGAAAAAATATTTTCTATTGCCTGTAATATTTCAAAGTTCTGCTCTGACTTATGCTGCTATAAAGCTGGAGTAACTAATGATTTTCTTGCTATCATCTATCTTTCTTTAAGATCCCTAGCACGGTGTATTTTAGTAGGTCACAAATATTTCCAAATTACATTCACTACTGCTTCAGAAGGAAGGGAAATATTAATACCCATTTTACAGATGGGAAACCAAAGTACAGAGATTTATAGACTTTTGCACAAAACCTGTGACAAATTCAAGAGTTTAATAAAAAGCTCCTGAGCACTTCTACAGTGCCTTAATCACCAGACCAGCCCTCATCCTACTCAGCATTTCCACACAAGAAATAGGGCAGTGTTTGGTCAAATATATATTTTAACCAATAAACTCATCTGTCCCAAAATGTCCTTGGGGCAACCTTTCCATCCAGTATGTATAGACCAGCCTTTGTAGCACCATAGGTATAACTCAACCCCTCTCCCCCTAGAAATAAACCATTATCTTAATGTACCAAGTTTGGGTAAAAGGAAAGATAAGTTGGGTTTAAATTCTGACTTTAATGCACCAGGGAAAATTCAGAGGATGTCTTTAGCTGAATTATGCTAATATGACTGAGATTGACAGACATCACAAAATAAGATTTATAATCTCCTCTCCTCTCTGCCAACAAAAAAAAGCTTGTAAATCTTACTTCTCTGTAATTAGATCACTTCTAATCTCTACACACTATTCTCAAGAAAAAGAAAAACAGGGAGCAACTGAGTGAATATATGTACTGGAAGGGACTTCCTGGGCTAGAGCTCCAGCTGCTGTGAATATAGCCCCACTGAAGTTACTGGACTTAGGCTGATTTTCAGCAGCTGAGTTTTATACTTAATTAGCAAGAAACAAATGGAACTGTAATAGTAAATGCTTTCCACTGACAGGAACCAATGAAAAGCAGGTGCAAAGACAGAGTAAGTCAGTTGATATTTGAATCCAGAGGTAATGACACAATAATTCTCTATGGCACAGGGGAGATTTAGCACTAATTGCAACCTTTTTTCATACCAACCAGTTTATGCCAATTGTCATTTCTTATCCTGAATAACCTAGGTTGCCTCAGTGTTAGTTCACACGATATCATAGCATTAGATAAAACCCTTTCTGTCTCTTGCTCTCCCAAAAATCTGCTGGTAAATCTTAAATAGCCATGACCAGAAAGAAGAGGTGAAGGGTAGCAGGTTAGATTGATGATTTAGAAGTAGTTTCAGAAAGTTATTTGTTACCATTGAAAATGTTGTTGTTACCATTATTAAAGGACTAGTTAAGTTGTAGAGAATGAGAACATAGTAAAAATGCATGGGGTGTCTTACTGCTCTAGAAGACTAGATATGGTAGAAAGAAGAAGACCAGATATATTAGAAGACCAGATATGGTAGAAAGCAGAAGGATGACTCCTTACAGATTTGTCTCTTCCATTTGATGGATATGGTCAATTAAAAATGCAAAGATAAACTGGTAAGTCAAATCAGCACTGGCAGGAACTGAAGAAAGTCTGTGGCATAAAAAATACAGCACAATACCAAATATCTGTGGTGTGTTAGGATCCTATGATGGGTATATCACAAGAGCACTGCACGAATTGGAAACTGATTTTTTTTTTTTTTTTTTTTACAAGAGCATGGGTCCTTTTCAAAA